TCAGGAATTAGGGACATACTCATATCATTCATCTAAGTACCTCTTACTTGGAGTTGAAACCACACGCGAACATCTTATTTATCTTTTCAGCGATGTTGCCTGTCAGTGCTTACAAGAATACTATCCGAAGCTCCACCAGCTGATCCCACCCGCCACTGGACAGTTCCTCATTTCTATCCAGCAAGTACCGCCTCGAGCACGTGCTCGGGTGCCACCCATACATCTATATCCATATACGGGTTGGTCATCTGATCTATTCCACTCGGATTCTCCTGTTGAACTATCATCCAGGCTTCTTATTATCCGAATGCCTCGCTCTCTAGGAGGAGTGTATAAGAATTATGCTTTGCCGCTTTCTCAGAGGAACCATGTGTGTGCTCGTTTAAGGCAGAGTACGTACACGCTCCACATGTACACATATATCCTGCAAGGTGCGAGTTTTGATCTTTAGCAGCGTCGAGGTAACCTTTCTCAACGTCTGTCTCTTCCCCTAGCTTTCATTCTAGAATTAACGAATCAAGCTCAATATGGGCAACAACGAAATGATCCACCTAGCCCACTCGCACGCCCATGAAGAAGATCTCCCCGGCACCGTCAACCTCAACGGCGTCGAAGGCGATGATACAGTGTACGGCCAAGCTCTCTTCCCCGTTCCATCCGAGGATCCGAACGATCCTTTGCAATGGTCCAAGTCCAAGAAGATCATGATCCTCGTGATATGTTCGGTTTATTCGTTTCTTGGGAATGCGTCGACGGTGGGACCGTCGGTATATATTACGCTTTGGGCGGACCAGTTTGGGGTTAGTCCGGCAAAGGCGTCGGGGTTGATTTCGTATCCTAACTTGGTGAGTCTTTTCTTCCTCCTTTAACGATGATTCGGACTTATCTCTATCCATTTAGGCCTTCGGTTTTTCCTCTCTCATCCTCGTTCCCCTCTACCTCAAATTTGGAAGACGTCCTGTCATGCTTGGAAGCATGGCCCTTTTCCTCGCTGGACTTATATGGGCTTCAGTAGCCGACTCCTTCACTACCCTCATGCTTGCACGTGTAATCCATGGGTTTGGCTCGGGGGTTTGTGAAGCATTACCTGTTCAACTTGTCAACGATATCTTCTACCTACACGAACGTGGACAGAAGATAGCCTACTATACGGTGTGTCTTTGCCTTGGTGCCACAGGACCGCTATATGCAGGATATATGCTCGCAGGGGGGCATAGCTGGCAGCTATTCTTTTGGGTTATTATTGCTTTTGCTGGAGTGCTATTCATCCTCGCCTTTTTCTTCGTTGAGGAAACACTTTATAAGCGGAGTGTGCCAGAGGTGGCGGCGGAATTATCAGAGAAGTCAGAGAAATCCTCTCTCGAGGGAGTTGAATCCACTCGTGTTATCCCCGCTCGTCGATCTACTATGGAGCAACTCAAGCTTTGGGGACCCGTCGACCATGACGTCTCTTTAATTATGACAATGCTCCGACCTTTCACCTATTACTTCATCCCCGCAGTCTTCTGGGTCGTTTCATCCTTCGGTATTTATATAGGTCTTGGTGCATTAGCATTCAATTACACATTCCCTATCAAGATTACGGCGCCGCCTTATAACTGGAGTGAAACCAATGCAGGTTTGATCGCAGTAGGAAATGCGGTGGGATACTTCCTTGCCATCCCATTTTCTAACTCGTCTGATAGGCTCGCTGCCTATCTCACCAAAAAGAATAATGGGATTCGCGAGGCCGAGATGAGGCTGGGTGTTATGCTTCCTGCTATGTTGATAGCTCCCGCGGGGTTGCTTATTTATGGGATTACGGCGGAGAGAAATTTGCATTGGTTTGGGTATTTTGCAGGGGTGGCTATGACGAATTGGGGAGCGTATTTTTACTTTTCATTTACGCTTGCCTATGCGGTTGATTCGTATTATGCTAATACGTCGGAAATGTTGAGTGAGTCCATCCATCTTATCTCTTTGTATAAGTCCTGGCTGACCTTTTCTCACAGTCGCAATGAACCTAGGCAAGCAAGCAATCTCGTTCGGTATGGGTCTCTTCCTGCTTGATTGGGTGCTCCAAGATGGCTACGCAGTCGTCATCGCCGGTGTTTTTGTCGGAGTTTTATTGTTCAACAATTTGCTGCTGCTAGTGTTCATGTTCTTCGGTAAGAAGATACGTATTTTGACCAACCATACGTGGTTGAGAAATATGCACCGACGAAGTGCCACGAAGGGAGATGTTTTGTAAGATAGAAAATTATCATGATATGTACACTTAGTGTTATTTTATGTGTATTACTTGTAGTATGTCTAGACGCATGGCGATGCAGAGAAGAAATTCTTTTCAATATTTTAAATTCTAAATAACAAGGATGGCTTCAGTATGGTTTAATATACTGCTATATCATTTGGCGGAGACCCACTTAACTTTGTATTTACGCAACTCATCACGGCGTACATAATTATGATTTCTTCTTATGGTTTCTCGAACTGTTCGCATCGACGGAGAGGACGGAGATGACGGCAACTGTCTCCCCCAGCGTCCTGATCTCCAGCACGGCTTGTTTGGATGCTGATTCCAGTAAAAAGAATGTCAACTGTACGTCGATACCACGGACAGGTAGGACGAGATAATACATATAAAAGGACGAAGTATAAGGCAGAGTGAAGCAAAGCTAGATTCAGGAGTTTGCCGAATAACTCCGACGCCGATGTATAGCTTTCAGGTACGCATTTGTAACTGCCACGTTATCCTTCCTTCCTACCATCCTCACCGACCGACCTTTAGGTGTTGCAGAATCAATCCTCCACGAAATCGAAACTCCTTCGACGTTGCTTTCTCTGGCCTTGACACGGAAACGCCTCTGCACATTCATCGCCCCGCGTCATCCAGAATACAGGATCATCCCATACTAGGTGTAGCGAGACGATGTGTGGAAAACTGTCTTGGAATCTCGCCACATACTGGATGTGTTACGGGCATTGAAGTTGCTATGGATTTATGGGACACGACACTGAAGGAGATTCGTTTACCTACGGATGAATCGATAAGCACGGTAAAAGCCCGCGCACTCACAGAGACGGAAGTGGAGACATGGGAGACGATCGTTCATGAGATATTTAGCGAGACGCTAGTTAGCATTGTTGAGCTGCACCCAATGGTCATTGAATCAGTATTATTCGCATTGAGCCGGGTAATCACCCGAGTACTCCGTCTCAAACGATTTATCTGCACACTCGAACATGGAGATATCGAGCGTTTCAAACCAGTGTTCACTTCGCTTGCTAATGTGCACGGATATGCTCTTCAGGAACCTGGTATCGTAGTCACAGGATATTATTGGAGACAGGTTATCGAGATTGAAGATATGGTATGTACCTGTAACGCCGTTCCGTGTTGCACCTTAATTAATTCACGTCGTTATATAATTTGGCTTATAATCTAACTGGTCTCTCGCGGGTATATATTACATACAGCACCTTTGAATGTTTCGAAAGGACAGTGGACACTCATCGCCCGATGTCCGCTTTTTGATTGCTCTTTATATTTCGACACTTCGCTAGCGCAACATAACAAACGCATTACCTCGCAATCTCTTGAAACTGGGTAATTGGAATCGCTCATGAAGCTTAGTCTCAAAGGATCGTTCACTAACGATGCTGACAGATATTCAGCATAAGGAAATGGCGGACTGGGAGATTTCCTCGCAAGGCATCGCAAGATGAACACGGTGATAGCGGATATCGGACTTTGGCAAGTCAAAGATGTCGGAAAAGCTTGCATTCCAGCGGATAATACTGCTGCATCGAAGGCGCTGAGTAAAGCAAAACGGGATTATGACTCTCGTTCATTTGCCTTTTGTTACCCGGTTTTCCGGTACATCTTCCATCAGTTTTGGAGATCTTTGAAGGGAGAGTAAAGGAGGTCCGCCTCACGTCGTTAAGTGACCTGAAACACCTTAAGGCATACCGATTATTTGGGATGATGAACAGGTATTTGCTGTATGATTTTGCGAGGACTGTGGCGTATGTCGAGAAACTCTAAGTGTCGCCTGCCGCTCCCAGAAAAGAGACAGTGCACGTAAGTATCATAATTTGGCTGCTTATTTATTTATTATTGAGTATTCTGATATTCCAGGACGCCATGTATATAAGAATACTGGTTTCGTTACTCTTCTCTCTTCAATCTTTGACACACCTCGCCGGCTATATGAAGAATGTGACTCCCGATTTCCCAGATCGACAAGTCATTCTGGATGAGCTGGTTGACCTACGTAGCCTTGAGTTTGTGTCATTGGAGATCACGAGAGATGGTATGGACGAAGTGCCAGGGAGGAACTATCAAGGAGGGCAGCGGTTGATAAAGATGTGGAAGGGCTCGCAGGGTGAATTTGCAGGATACGTTGAGGCGGCATATTGCGAAGAGTCTCCCTCGTGGGGTCATTTTTTCAGTGGGTTTGGAGGGCAGGAACCGGCTTCCAGTATCGGATGATCTAAACTTTGTCGCTTTCGTGCTATATAGTATTTTCCCATCCGTATCATGCATTTTTGCTTTCTCCTCATCGTGACTGGATATTTCCTATGAAACTTACTCTGCTTACTTATAGGCCGTTTACTATCAGAAGCCCGAATCATGTACCTTTTTTTGATATAATATCTCTCATTTCCGCCCCACAAATATAAATATAATTCGTAAAGTCCTGTTTACACTGCGTCTTAATTCAGAAAAAAAGGAGCGTATAATCAGTGCAGCTTTCTAGCCTTTGATTGATAACGAGCAAGTCCATCTGTACAGCGAACTCACCTGACAGCTGGAAAAAAAAAAAATACAGTCGCAAAAGAATGCACTAAAGGGGAATTTAACTCCTGGCTGGTCGATGGTGCTCACTGGCAACGACCAAGGTTACCACTACCCATTAGAACCGTTGTAAATGTTTCACGATCGTAAATCCAGGGCTCACGAAACCGAAAGAAATATTTCCCATTAAAATAAGAAATGATCAAACTTTAACAAAAGCAGGTCTTACCCGGACTCGAACCGGGGTCATGAGAATCTCAAGTGTTAGTCGTCTGGAATGAACGACAGAACCTTCAAAATCTCAGGGGATAACCACTACCCCATAAAACCATGTTTCGACAGCCGTTAATAGAGCTATTTGGTAGGGATGAAGGAATATATTAACCAAGGATTTGAGGGCAGCACGACACCAGTGTTATTGAACCATCGACAACGGAAAGTCACTCGAGGCATAGCCCCCTCCCACAACGCTTGGATCGTTCGTTCCACATTCTCACGTCACGTCGGTCAGGAACTGCGGAGTCTCTCGGGGCATTCACATAGTTTCAAATGAAAATTCATATGTCGACATGATATTGTGGAATACAACGAGGACATAGCTAAAGAAACACGCAACGTGATCATCAACTCCAATGCCTCCTTAAGCACCTGCAAAAGATGCACCTAGATAGTCTTCCAGAATTACAAGCTCGATAATAGCCGCTTCCATAGTATAAATGACAATATCCATGACAATGTATTAGCGGCCAAGGAAACATCATCACGTATAAAGATCGATTGCCGGCGTGTAATGTTCTCATGCCACATAGTCACAAACGCAGCCGCATAAGGATAGACACGGGATATAGTCACAGCAATGTGTAAAGACAGCATGAGGATCTAGCCAAAAGTATTAGCGGTAAGTTCACTATGAGGAGGCGCAGAAAACCACACCTTGACACTTGTATGTAAGGTGGTGCCCATTCAATGTCGTCTTGGTAGTCTGCATTAAGATATCCAGGCCAATGTGTGCATGTGGCCCTACATCATCATGCATGTCCTCAGCAGACATCCAGGACAAGCCAGCGATCGGTAATCTTGTGTTCAGGACAAACATACAAATTATGAAAATCACTGGTCGGCATAGTCAGTACAGTGATAGCAAGAAGAGAAACCGCTATTGTTCACTATGATGCTCGACATGCGAAGGCCATTCGGTTTACACGACAAGCATCATGAATCCAGAGCCTCAGTGGTCTCCAACTCCTAAAGAATTGCCATTAAGTTTAACAATCAACCCATGTAGAAGAACATAACATACTCAGCCCGACTGAAGTAACTCTCATTGCACATCGACAACAATCAGTGGTGTTAGAGTCATAAATGAAGTCTGAGAGATGAGTCGTTTCATCATGAGATATGAAGCTGGTGGTGTAGAAAGAGCGTATATAGATCTAGGCAACAATGGAGCATGTGTTAACTTAGGGGCACTAGAATACGCACCTAGCTTCTACAAGCATTGATTAATAGGGTTGTCTTGTGCTGTGAGGAATAGCTTGATATCTTGTGGAAGCCAAATAAAGCAGTCATCGGTGACGAGTATATGACGAAGAAGTGTCACGGAGTATCCTAAATTGCAGGCCATGTTCAGCAAGTTGACGATGAGAAGAAGCAGATGCTGCTCACCAGTAGTCCCAGCAGATAAAGGTGCATCTGATCAAATGCTGTGAACGACGTTTCATATGCATACCTAAGGGTCATCAATAGTCTGTGAAAGGAGCAATGAGCATATGTGATATGTGATTAGGGAGAACACTTACTGGAAGGTTGCAGACACCGGTAGCGACCTCCTGTCGGTCGAGGTCCGCTTGGGGATGTTGTGGCGCGAAATAACGATAAAGATGATGCGTTGAATGCAGGTAGACGTTTCATAAAACGCCAATAATGTTTATTCGATATTCTCCGGTGTTTGAACGGTGTTCAAGGCAGAAGAGGGACGTGAAGGTTACTGGGATGCTGATCACGGTACGTATGTTCCGTTGCAGTCCACGAACAGCAGACGACGACGAGACTTAAGCCGAAGATCGATATCTCATGCATCGTCGGATCTGAGTTGGAGTTGAGGGCGGCGATGCACGCTACGGCCGTCGTAAGGTCGACCGCACACGGACGGCTGTTGACTCCATAACGGGAAGTTTTGATAGCTAATGACGAACAAAAATCGTTCACAGGATAGAGAATCTGCAACAAACCGATCACCGACGGATATATAGCTACATGTACGCGTTGGGACGCACCATGGACTCCTGCTACTGTACCCTATCCTCGATGCTCGACGCGACCGTCTAGCGCAGTTCTAGTCTCAATAAGTAGTATTGACATACAATCTATACATGAAAGCTACAATGCAGCCAAATTATAGTCGTTAGATGAGTGTGAAGAAGGCGAGAGAGCAAAGACACCTGCCGTACAAATGCCATCTGCGACGGGTCGTGGGCAGCGAATAGTTAAATAGAAACTTGCGGATACAATTATTCCATAATCATAAGGGCAAATGCGAGTAAACTGAGGTCTCCGATGTTTGGATATAAGTCGAGAACGGCAGCGGTGACTTTGTGGACATCGAGGTCGCGTTTCGTACCGTAAGCAGTCACCTGGTCACTGTCACTTGCACGTGCCTTTGGATGATATCATTCAAATGACATTCGGACTTCAACTTTTGCACGATGTCTTCACTCCAGCTTCTCTAAGGGCGTTATGTTCCACTTAACTTAACTGCGAGAATATTCATGTATCTATTACTTATATTCTATTCGGTTCGAATGCTTATTGGCCATTTTTCAGCTCTAGAAGAGTGTGCGCAACATATAAATGCCAATTTCTTCCCCACCATCCTCGCAATCAGTAATGTATATTTTTTGAGGGTCAAAGAGTGCATATTTTTTTAAGTTTCATTATCTTTGATAAATAAATAAAAAGACAGATGCGACGAACCACAGAAATCGATCGCAAACATGGTCATGTCCACTAACGTGGTATTAAGATAGAACTCCGCGTTAAATATGTCAAACAATAATCTCGTCGGCTTGATTTAATGGAGCCCCGACCACAGGGCTTCCTTCCGGGCTTGCAAGGGAATAAGCTGTGGAACGAAAATATAATATGTTAATTACTTTACTGCCATCGAGAAATAATATTTCATCGTTAGTGTCTCCTCGTGAATTCTAACGGAAGTAAATTAAAATATTAGTATCAACCGATAGAAGAGGGAAAGGATATACAGTGTGGATGTACTCTCTCTGTCGCTTCTTTCCGAAAGAAAATAGAATGTATGACGAATTCCCCCGGTTGATTGGTTCAAAAATCGAATCAAATAAATATCCATTATCGAAGCATAGAAAACGGAAAATTAAATATCAAAAATCAAATATAAAATGAGCAGTCCGACAGTCCTACGAAACAGTCCAGAGAAACTAAAAGACGAGCACATCAAAGCACTGATAAATAAATAAATAAAATATAAGTCCAAAAAAAAAAAAAACAATCACCCAAACCAAGCAGCCAGTCACCAAATCACTGCAACAAGATATCCAGGCCAATGTGTGCATGCGGATAGCAGACATCCAGGCGCAGCCATGACAAACATGCGGCTAATACCCTGTATTCAAAGCTAACTTCAGTAAGTTGATCATGAGAAGATAGTCCTTAACATACCAAGGATCCACATCGTGACTGACAATGCCCAATGGTCACCTAAAGAGTCGCAGGGAAGCTCAACGTTTAACCTCGTGTAGAAGAAGAAGAGCATAACGTACCCAGGCCCGTCCATCTGAGAGTACCATATATTCAGAGAACACTGTAGTTTTCATTCCACATTCATAACAATCATACAGTCTCAGGCATCATTGACGTAAAGGAAGCTTTATGAGTCGGTACAATATATTGGGACGGTGATGTGCAGCGAGTATACGCGTATCTAGGCAACCATTGTGAAAGCATCAGCTGAGCTTAACAGTGGGATCGCCAGAATGCATACCTGCACCTGATGTTCCAATACCTCTATTAAAGCTGCGTCCTTAGACTGTCGCAAGGTGCATGCCAAGCCGAATGCAGACGACATATATTGGAATTTTCGAACTTTCGATGTGTCATCATGTACGCACATAAAGCATGACGGAAGATGTAGCGAAGTCGGCTAGGAATGCAGAATCTGCTGCTACTAGGGAAAGGCGACTTGCAGTCTTGTGTCGAGATAAGCCGAGAATATGTAACAACCGAGTAGCCAGTCATAGAACATTTTACATCATAACTATGTTCTAAAGAAGCAGCTGCAATAACAATATGAGCTGATTAGATGTTAGGAAGACGAGTATGCAACGTACTTGGCTGCTCGACAACTCGATCGCGATCCTCTCCAGGATCCTACGATAGGTCTCCTGACGTTTGAAGGCGAAGTCCTGATGAGCTTGAATGATGATCGAAGCTACACATCTCGTCTGTAAGGAAGATAATCGTACGGAGGACCGTCTTGGGAATGGCAGCTTCCAGTCGTGCGAGTAATAACATTCGGGTGTGACGTTGCTAAAGGCAAAAGTCCGCCGCCTTCCCCTGCGCGGTTTACATTTGGGACTGCGACGAGCTCGACGACGTTTTCGTTTCCTATCGACGCAGGTCTAATTTGCATAAGTATACTGCTATTCTCATTTTTAACATCGTTCAACCCTCAAATAGCTCTATGATGCCTTTGAAGTTCATTCATCGCACTGCATAATGAATTTCTTGCATGAAAATGTTCATTTTTTGGTCAGAGTATTTCGTCAACAAATTTAGATGGTCGGAAGTTACTCGTACGTGTATTTTAATGAGAACATGTAGAAATATCTTAACAATAGATAGATGGCAGATGATCCTTTTAATTACAACTGCCTGTATGTCTTAAACCTACAGCACGTTTTACCTGCTTCCAGATCTTTAACTTCCCCATCCCCCTTCTCATCAAAGTTCATCTCATTCATTCACTACGTGAGTAACAACTTGTACATATCAAAATATGGTAATCGTCAAATGATTATATAGTATCATAGAAAGAATTATTCGTTATATCAAACCAGAGTGTGAAAGGCTCACAACTACTCAGAGAATAATGGGGATGGTTGGCAATAGGTGCATAGACCACATCCAATCCACCACTCGACGTATTGAAGCAGGACGCGAATAGATTGGGTGCTCCATCCGTGAATGCCAATGCTGGCCCATTAACATACTGTGTACGGTTATTAATAAAGATCTACAATTTTTGAAGCGTAAATAAGTAGGGGATTTGAGAAAATTTGATAGATTATTTACCCCAG